TTTCAGTTTTTCGAAGTGATCGCAAACTTTTTTTGATGTGTGTATATGTTATGCTATAATTAGAAATAAACTCAACAAGTTGAATTAAGTTTAAACCTTACTAATTAAGCTTGACGAGTGGCAAGTTGTGGTAATACGGTCTATTCATACATATCCGGGGCGTGGACGGGCCGTACTCCTTCAGGGGCTCAAAAAATATCGTTGCGTTTATTTTGTATGAACTCGTTCACACATATCCATGTCCGGGCCGGCGAGCCGGGACGGGCCCACAGTTCGTACAAATTAGCACGCCCCGTCCACGTCTCGGGCATGGCCCTGATGTGTGTGGATAGTCCTTTAAAATACCTACTGCTCTGCTTTCAGCCAGGCTCAAGTCGGTGACTGATTAGTAGCAATTTTACAATTCAAGACAAAGTGATTCGAATCCTACTGGATAATTTTATATACATATATAAGTCCTGAGTTAATAATTATATATAAATGTTAATAAGCAGCGCATGTGTGATGTTGAAAAAAATATCAATATCGTTCATAAACAAACAAATAAATAGTGTTTTTATCAGTGATCATCAATGTAACAAAAATATGATAAAATTCTAGAATACGAGGGCATTTTCCCCACATACGTAAGCCAAACAAAATCCCCAAACGAGTTGTAGAGTTGAAATTCCATGTATTTGGTGAATTCCCCATAAATTGGCAACACTGCAGTCAGTTCAGAAATGGGTCTGACTTCGCCTACTGGACGTGTATTGAGTGAATCTGATCCGATAGTCGGATCCGCCCATCAGACACGAAATCGGACGTCTATTACCGCACTTCGGTTGAACTTTTTGTATACGAAAGAGAATTTTTGTTAGGCAATCCCGACATAATGAAATGACCGAATGAATGAATTAGATTTGGCGCCTACAACATAAGTGCGATCTGTTTTACAAAATAAGATATCTAATCTATATGACTTACCGTACATCGTCCGTCATAGTCTAAAGATTGTTTTTACAAAACTACCGTACATAATCATTATTATTTGACGTTATTACTCTTCGTTATTTCGATGGGACTATAACATTTAAAAGAAGAAGAGTAAATACAATGCATTGCAATGCAAAATGTTATTGAGTCATTACATTTTGGAATATCCTGAAACTAAAATGTAGTATAATTTTTAAATGTATCATTAAATTATTATTTCATTAAAAATTCACGACATATGAATGAATGAATATTTTTGACTCTCGATAGATACCGCAATAGGTACAGTCTTGACTGACAGTGACATTGACATTAACTTGACAATGTTAATGTATGTTGTGTTGTGAATGAAAAATTTGGCGCGTTTTATAGTCATCAGCTTAATTTTTAGTGATAAACAACCTTAATCTGAGCAAAATGAGTTTATGGGTTGACAAACATCGACCGCGAGACTTAATGAAGCTGGATTTCCACAACGACCAAGCGGTTCGTTTGAAAAGTCTTGTTCAGCAAAGTGATTTCCCCCATCTCCTAGTATATGGGCCCTCGGGTGCCGGTAAGAAAACTCGCATTATGTGCTTGTTGAGGGAACTGTACGGCTCCGGTGTGGAACGATTACGACAAGAAACGATGAATTTTACAACTCCTTCTAATAAGAAAATCGAAATCATGACTGTAAGTAGCAACTATCACATTGAGGTTAACCCAACAGACGTCGGTATACACGATCGAGTTGTTATCATGGATTTGGTGAAGACCGTAGCTCAGACGCATCAAATAGACTCTTCAGGACAGAGGGAATTCAAAGTAGTTATTTTAAACGAAGTTGATGATCTGACAAAAGATGCTCAACATGCTTTACGTCGAACTATGGAGAAGTACGTTGCTACCTGTCGTCTAATCCTCATTGCCAACTCTATTTCCCGCGTCATACCAGCTATAAGGTCGCGTTGCTTGACGATTAGAGTGCCAGCACCAACAGAAAGTGAGATTGCTCAAGTTTTACATAACGTCTGTAAGAAGGAGGGTTTGAATTTACCTTCAGAATTAGGCATGCGCATTGCTAAATGTGCCGACCGTAATCTAAGAAGGGCGCTGCTAATGTGCGAAGCTTGTAAAGTACAGCAATATCCTTTTACAAAAGACCAAAAGGTCTCCGAACCTGATTGGCAAATATTTATTAGGGATACAGCGTCAATGGTCCTGTCAGAACAATCTCCAAAGAAGTTGGGGGAAGTCAGACAGAAATTATATGAATTAATAATACATGGAGTACCACCAGATATGATTTTTGCTGGTTTACTAAGAGAGCTTGTTCGGAATTGTGATATGTCAATGAAATGTCAAGTGGCAAGCCTTGCAGCACAATATGAGCACAGAATGAGACTTGGCAACAAACCTATTTTCCATTTAGAAGCATTTGTGGCAAAATTTATGGCAATCTATAAGAAGTTTATGGAAGAATCTATGGGTGATGCTTTTTAGTTGTAAGCTATTTTAGTATGATCAAGTTGTTGTTATGAAACTTGTACCTACTTGCATTTTAAAATAATAAATACTTTTTGAAGTTTATAAGCATATACTAGATGTTGTTAATTAGTATAATTTTCATTTTCTTTTCATAAAACATCCTTACGTTAATAACTAGTACCTGATAGCAACCTAACACTGAATATCTTCCAAATGTCCAGCTACACAAAATAAATTTTATGAACAAAATTGTAAAAAAAAGCAAATTTATTTTTTATTGGCATTTACATTACAAATTATTATTCAAAAATACTCATAGTAATTTTTCACAGGTATTTTGTTGGCAAACTGTCTGAAATTATCCACAATATTGTGCATTAATGCTGCTGTGATTTCATTTGTCAAGTGGTCGAGGATTGAAGGTCTGCTGTTCAGGAATTGGTCTATGATGAAAGCATCATTGGAATCTGAAAATAATAAAATTATTTAATGTACTTAAATAACAAATAATCTGCCTCATTTGATTTATTTCCCTTTAGTTGTAACTATTATTAAATTTACAAATTATTTAACAATTTATTTGAGTTTTACAATTATGTATGTATGAATACATATGATAATAAGAATGTAAATATTTAACCAAAAAAAAAAAATTAATCTAAAAATACCAGAGTTTCAAACTTTTTCAGTAAAGAAAAGACGATGCGACATTGGTTCGTAGTTTCGTACCAACAGACACATTCTCGTATTTTATTTTCGTATCTACTCCAAATTTCATATATTATAATCAATATTTTTTTTTTTACATTTATCATTTCTCAACTTCAAGTTAACCATACACAAAGCTCCACAAAGTAGGAACACTCCAAAGTAATAGAAAGTAGGAACTCCATAAAGTAAACCTAGAGATTATACGAAGTAATTATAATCAATGTGCCAACATAAATAGCGCCTTACAAACAAATCCGACTTGTCCGGGAAATTAATAAAACAGGCTAACAAAGCGGCTGAAAGCTCCTAAAGGTAATTACGCGAAAGTGAAATAAGCCGTTTGTTACCATCAGTGACAGATCGGAAATGATAAATGATGACTACGAGACCCGCCTGCAGGCGACAAAGCAGGAAAATGACAACTTTTTTGGAATACTTTACTGCCATTAGTGGAATGGGATTTACAATGAGGACTGTATGGAATGAAAAGGGAAACACTGTCTTTGAAATTCTTCTGAGTTACAAAACTTTGTGTAAACAACTCATGATCCCTAACTCATTCCTAAGTTAATTACCCGGATTTCCGTTTGTAGACTGTACGTCAACATATCGCTGCTTTTAAGAATAGTGGACCAATTCATTGTAGTTTATTTTTTTACTATAATGGTACACTACGTGTCTCATTGGTTTAAATAATCAACATTGGGATGGTCTACGATATACCAGGCGGCAGACACTTTGATATAAGCCACTATTCTAGAAAGCCCTTGATATGTATACATTGTTCCAACTTAATCTATTTAGAGCGAGTCACTTGAATAATAACAATAGCGTGAAAGAAGTCTCTAAATTTTTATCTGTCCAAAATTGCCGCTGAACCTACTAGTAGGTAAACAGTCTGTAAATATGTCAGCATCTTCGGGAGCTTTGAACTTCAAAAAAACTAATTAACGAACAACGTATAAGTTATGGCCAGAATATCGACTTTTACAGTTTTTTAACATGCATAATTTTAGCTCCATTTCAAAATTAACGTGTTGGAAGTTTTAAAGCTCTGATCAGGCAGGCACCTTTTAGGCTAGAGTGTATCATGGTACTCATACACTTTACTGTCAATCGGGGTTGAAATTGTGGATTAACATAATATTATGCCTAGTTCAATTTAAATTGTGTTGATCCGTGTTCTTTTCTGGTTAGTTAATTTATTCAATAATATTCTGAAAGTAAAGTATGTTGTAAAACAATTTTAATGTAACAAATCGTTTGCTACGGCTAATCGGCATAGTCATGGTCAGTCATTGCTTCATTTCTAATTTATAGCTATCGCGAAAACATAAGAATTCGATATTTAAAGTTTCTTTGGCGCTAGTGAGTATCTATCGCTTTTTACAAGTAAAAAATGTTAGAGTTGCTAATGCAACAAATTACTTAGAATTTCGCAAGTGGGTACAATTATAACCAACGTTAGGTTTTAGGAAAATATTCTCTGAACTACGCTAAGCAACAAGGAAAGACATACCTAAATTACTTTAAATAGATAAATCACGCAATATTAGATAAATAATGTAACAGCGTGAGACTCTCCGCTGATTATTGCCATGCCTTTACGTCATATTGTACTATAGTTACCGAAGTATTGATTACTTACCTACCATTACAAATGTGTAATATGATAGGCAATAAATAAATAAATAAATCCTTACTCGGTTGAACAAAATATGTTGGTATACGATTATTTCTGACGATTATCCGCTCTGGGCCAATCAAGATGTAATCATCATTGTCAAACCGTCGTTCCCCCGATGGCACGTAAGTGATGTTGCTTTCAACATTTTCTGAAATGTAAATAGGTATTAGATATTGGCATATGTCGTAAAGGGTCCTTAATTATAATCGATGTGTTGCAGACACATAAAATATACTAATAACAGACCAAGCAATAATAAAATATACTTAACAAAATTGGTGAAAGTACAATGTACCTACCACCATTAAATTACTAAAGATGTTATAGTTTCGCAACCTTGTCTATCATGACGAAATAATTCGATTTCTTCATTTGTGAAGGTCCTGCCAGTAAACGTATTAGAAGCGTTGTATAATAATTATATTGATTGGCGTTTGTTCAAATTTGTTCAATCATCATGAATTCACTATAAGCCCCACGGCCGGGTACTGGTCTCCACTACAGAGAATGTTTAAAGATAATTAATTAGTCCGCCACACGGTCCTAACGTTTTGGGAACTTTCCACTCTTTCTTTTGGGTGGATGGCCGTCTGAGTGATCCGTCTGGCGGATGAGCCGTTTAAGACGAGTAGTTTCATTAGGTATGATGTTTTCTCTCAACGTCGTGGCGACAGGTATAACTACTAAACATGCGCAAAGGTAAGTAACTTATAACTTAATCATCGTCAATCGATTCATAGAGAACCAACTCGCTCATTTCCATTCGGTGCTACATCATTGACGCTATTGTACTCTAAACGTTACAGAAAATGTATTTGAATTGAATTTTTAACGTGAGACGCGTCAATAAAATGTTGTGCATTTTTACAATATATAAGTAGGTATGTAAAATTAAAATTACCGCTGATTTTTCATCAAACGTAAACACTTGTTAATGTTGCAGATATTGTGTTAACATATTGTAAGTCAATGGTTAACATACTTAAATTCAATTTTGCCAAAATTACAATTACGTCAATTTAGCACCAAGTGAGCAAACTGTTCCCGCGCTGGGATATCGCCACTCTCTTTCGATTTCTGAAATAATACATTCGTCATCGTTGTTATTATCAACCCATTTATACGTCCCACTACTGAGCACGGGTCTCCTCTCAAGGAAGCGTTTTGGTCATAGTCCGCCACTCTGGCCCAATCTCGAGAAACTCAGATGTGTTAGCCCAGATTCGAATCCACGGCTCTGTTTGAGAGGCAGTAACGGTCAAAGGTTAGGTTATGCTAACACGAACTTTTAACCATTACGATACATTAAATTCATGAAATTTCGCATGTAAACCATAACCAATCTTCGCCGAAAAGTTTGACGAACAAGTTTTTGATAAATGAACACGAGCGATCTCTCGGAAGACAAAATAATAAACACCGAACAAAATAACGGATTTTGCACAAGTTTAGGCTACTTCTGAAAGTGTAAAGCTACGAAAGATAGCAACTTTTACAAGACTAGTCAACATTTACACTGATTTGTTCAGAATAATATACAAAGTCTTAGCACTGTATTTATGAAGTATTTTATTTAAAAAAATATTTAAAATACTGATCCATTTCACTCCATATTAACTCCTCAGACGTTCTCCGTCACGTGGGCACTGTTAGGCTAGATGCCCATTGGCGGGATGGTATGGCAAGGGATCCTCTGGCATCAGAAACATGCAGCCTTAGAATAATAACGCATAGAATGATAGTTTCATATCAAACGAACTGTCACAAGTGAGGCAAAAATCAAATTCATTTAGGCTAGTTTTAGTACTAGGTTAATTTTCGGTTTTAGTGAATATTTATATAAAAATACAAGTTGAAACGCGTTACTTCCTTGTGGAATGTGATGGTGGTATCTATTTTATGATTGTATGACGTATTTTTACACTCATTTACCGCACATTTCGTCATTTTTAGCTAAAATTTTTGAGCTGTTCGCGGTGCAAGTTGACCTTGAGCACCGATGGCCCGCCCGCTCGTGTAGGCCCATTGGGAGCGCTTCGATTTGCCTCACTTAGCGTGTGCGGACTAGGTTTCTATGCGTTATTATTCTAAGCATGCAGCGATGTCCTTAGGCATGTCGATGTGTGCTGTCGCGACATCGCGCTCGCGTCTAACTTGTATTCGAGCCGAAGCATCCCGAACCGCAACTTTGTTTTCGTTAGTACGAATATTATTATTGATATTTCAATTAAAAAATTATTATATTAAGATATAAGTACCTATTACTATTCGTTACCTAAAAATGCCCTGCCGTGCTCCGTCCCGTCAGTGGGCGCCGTATCTTACATCACCCGAGTGTCGCCTGATGTGATTAGGTACTCCACAATTTTTATTTGAATGTCATTCAAGGAACTTTTTTGTTTATACCTGCCTACCCATTGCACATTTGTGTCACTTACGAATATCCATTGTTATAAAAGCTGATAATGGTTCCATTCTTGCCGCCATGGTAAGGATAACTTCACCGGTAACGTGCAGATCACTGGCGAACGTCACACCGCTTTTGCCTCCAAGAAGATCAAACCTGAAAATAATTTATACACATTTAATACAAATTTCAACGAGCAATGATTGCGAACCATGACAGCAATATAGGAAAACTTAATAGCTATAGTACCAATAGGTACCTTATAAACTATACAGGGTGGAAATTTGTAATGCCACCTGGAGGGAAAGTACTCTAAATACTGGAGATAGAAATTTTTACTTAAAGGAAACATTCCTTTAGTTTTTAAAAGAAATAAAACTGCATTCATAGATTTTCGAAAATTTCTAGCAACACGCGGGAATCGAACCCGCTTTAATCTGAAAAAAATGCACCCTGCACTTTTATTGCCTCGATCGATAGGGTTAATTCTCTCTTAAATTAAAATCTCTCTCACAAAATTGATTAATTAAATGAAAAAAAAAACCATGAAATCTTAACGTATTTTAATAAACGAAAATGGTTGACTATTAGTTGCTCGAAATGAGCTCCATTTTCTTGGATACACAAATTTAATCTTTTAACGAATTCATTTTGAAGGCTGAGGTTCAGAATACGATTTGTAATACAATTCATCACAACACGTTATTAAAAGTTACTCAAAATGAATTCGTTAAAAGATTAAATTTGTGTATCCGAGAAAATGGAGCTCATTTCGAGCAACTAATTAGTTAGATTACCATTTTTTTCGTTTTATTAAAATACGTTAAGATTTCATGGATTTTTTTTTTCATTTAATGAACCAATTTTGTGAGAGAGATTTTATTCTTATAATTAACCCTATCGATCGATGCAATAAAATTGCAGGGTGCATTTTTTTCAGATTAAAGCGGGTTCGATCCCGCGTGTTGCTAGAAATTTTCGAAAATCTATGAATGCAGTTTTATTTTTTTTTTAAAACAAAGGAATGTTTCCTTTAAGTAAAAACTTCTATACCCAGTATTGAGAGTACTTTCTCTCCAGGTGGCATTACAAATTTCCACCCGGTATAGGATACGTATTGGTACCACACGCATGGTGTGATGACACCATAGTATTTATACAAATTGTCAATATTACAACTACAATTTGAACTTTGCAAGTGACATAATGTACAGTTTTCAACAAAGAATGTTGACAGTAAGTACTACAACTCTAGCCGAGCCCCGACCGTACCAAGTTTCCATTACTTATACCTACTAAACGTACCTAAAAACAGAAAAATGACTACAAAATCAATTAATAACTCATTACAATGAATATTTTGGAAAACACCCGACCAATTGGAATAGGTATAAAAAAGTTTTGATTACCCGTACGCAGTATCCTCGGAGATTAAAAGTTTTTAATATTTATTTCTCGAAGAGATTTATTAATAATACTGGCTGGAGTTACTCATAAAAAAAATTAAGATAATAGAAACGCAAAATGTTAAGTCGGCTGAAAAACTTTATTATACCAAAATCAGCTGAATACTTCATCGAAAATATTCTTTTAATTATATCGTATTTCGGAAACAGTCTTCTCGTCGATCATGTCATCTTTTTATCAGATTTACTTAGAATAAGTAACTTAGTAACAAATTTATTTATTATGAGCATTTAACAAAGATTTCAATTGTATTGAGTTTGCTAGATAAGTTCCTTATAGCATGTTTTGTAAAACAATGTTGAAATAATCGGTGCAGTGCTTTATCATATATATTTTCGTCCGTTTTAAATCATTGACAGTGACTGTGATTACATATGTACGTAAGTAAAACTGCGAGCTGCGAGCTGGTGATAAAAATAACGTGTATATTTTTGGTTATTTTTTTTTTTTTTATTAACGTTATAAACCTTTTACTCTTCGTGACATACCCTGATACCTACTTGACGTTGACAACGTTCCCAGATTGATGACGTTGCCTTTTGAAAATGTTTTATGAGGGTTCTGTAAATTAACTTTATACCACAGATATAAAGTTCATAGAATAGAATAGAATAAGCTTTATTGCACACAAAACAAATGGAAACATTACAATATATAAGTTAATGGAAATGTACAATCGGCGGCCTTATCGCTAAACAGCGATCTCTACCAGGCAACCTTACAGATTATTATAGAATTTAATTAAATACAGGTGAAGGGCAGCTAATGGTGCATAAAGCAGCAACGATACATAAATTGAACTTAATAATCTTTATAAAAACTTACTACATAAATAACATACATACACATAACTACTATACTAAATACACACATCAAAAAAAGTTTGCGATCAATAGCATAAGCACCTATAATTCTTTAACTTTAACTTTATCAAGATAAAATCTATGTTGTATGCTTTCTTTAAATAGGAATACCCTGTTTGAAATTAAAATATAAAACTATTTTTTATTATTTATTTAAAAAAATTGAGCCATTAATCATAATGTAATAGTGATAGAAATTTCATAGAAAGAAAAAGACTGTTTAATTAAACTTAAACAACAATTTATTATTAAAAGGTGTGAATTCAATATAAAATAACTCCTCCCCTGGCTCGAATACATGCAAAGATCCTCCTGGGCATGCTGAGGATCAAGTTATCCAGCATTTCCTGGGGTAACCTATCCCATTCTTCAATAGCGGCTTCCCTGAGCTCTGGAACTGTCTGGGGACGTGGCTCACGGTTCCATACTGCTCGTTTAAGAGCATCCCACGCGTGCTCTATTGGGTTTAAGTCGGGCGAGCCGGCAGGCCAGTCTAATCGTGTGATATCGTATTCTTGAAGAGCAGCATTGACTCGTTGAGCTCGATGTGCGGGCGCATTATCATCGACCAGTACAAATTGGTGCCCATGGTTTACTCGGAATGGTCTGACGATATCATCAATAGCAACTGCTTTGTACATGTCTGCTGTCATGAAGCCCCGATACGGGATCAAAGGCGTTCTAGCTTCAATCATAATGCCACCCCAAAAGGACACCGATTTTCCGCCTTGCTGAACTGTTCCAGTGGCAGTTCTTTGTCTTTCACGGTCGCCTGGTCTTCTCCAGACACGGACACGTCGGTTATCTGGATGAGTGCTGATTCGGAATTCGTCAACGAAGAGACAGTTTTGCCAAATGTTTTCATCCTCACCTTCTTCATTTTGCCGAAGTCTAGCCCACTGCAATCTTCGTTGTTGACGTTGCCGGGAATTGAGCGGAGCTCGCCAAGACCTCCGTGCTCGTAATCCAGGCTGGTGCAAGCAATTGCGAACGGTCTGCGTGCTAACTTCAAGCCCAGAGGCGGCCCTGACTTCTGCTTTTATTTTAGTGGCGTTGATTGTTGGATCACGGGCTGCCAGCAATCTAATATAGCGCTTTTGGGCAGCTGTCAAAACAGTTGGGCGACCGCTGCGGGGTCGGTCAGCTAAATTCCCCATTCCGTGATACCTCTGCAACGTAGCCACGACACAGGATTGGGATATAGCAAGTCTGCGTACTATTACTCTCGTGGTGTATCCTTCTTCCCTCAAAGTTACTATTCTAGCTCGTAAAACCTCTGATAATCCTCTTGGCATTTTTTCAATCACAACTTTCCGCGAAAAATATCTTGAATCGCTTATAATTGACTAAATCAGATTTCTGAATGAGCGTAAGCTAGGACTGAAAGCCTTTTTATATGAAAAAACAATTGAACGGGGTCATTGTTTTATGTTCTAATTTATTTTTAAATAAAGAATCTAAAAAGAAGAAAAAATCATAATATAATCTACAGTAACAAAAAAGATTTCAGTTTTTCGAAGTGATCGCAAACTTTTTTTGATGTGTGTATAT